GAGAGCATCCACCACACAGCTTGGCAGGGTCACTCAGTGCTGGAGGCAGCAATGCTCTGGCACCTGCCAGGTGCCCAGGGGGAACAGACAAGTGGATGGATAGCCAGAAAAGGGGCAAGGAGCTAGACAAGGATCTCTGAAACTGGCTACCTGCAAAGGCTGAGATGCACACAGCACATCGCTTTCCTGCGATGGCAAACAGTGCTGGCTGCAGGACAGGGGTTAATATTGGCATTGGACTCTGGAAATCCCTGTGGGTGTTCTGGCTGATGGCAGTCACTCTGATAAGGTGTGAAGAAAGAGGTCTGCTGGGCAGATGGGCTCTTACCATCTCCTGCCCTGTCTTCAAGGTAGATCAGCTTCAATAGCATCTTTAGGATGAGAAATTCTGCCTGTGTCTTCCTTGCCTGTCCCTCTCATCCAGACCAATCTGGTTTGGGCAGGAAAGGGATTCACTGTATAGCTTAAATAGCTTAATCCTGAAGCTCCACGAGTTGTTAAGAGAAGAATGCTGTCAGAAAGAAAAGTGGAAAAGCTGAACCAAATCGACCTCAGATAACAGAGGGGAGTAAAAAACTCTGTGTTGCAAAAGAACACTGTGTGACTCCTAAGCCCAGCTTTGTTTCCTCAGGATGCTGCAGGGCTGTAGCCTCACACACATTCATGGCATCACATCCAGGCAGCCTCTTGTTCAGACAAGCTCCATTGGATCTCCAGGGCTCAGACCTACAGGGATGGCCAAGGGTCACCAGCTCTGCTCTACGTAGGAAGAGAAGAAGGAAAGATGTTCTTGAACATCTCCAGGGCCAGTGACACCATCACCCCCCTGGGCAGCCTGTGCCAGTGCATCACCACTCCTTCTGGGAAGGAATGTTTCCTGAAGTCCAGCCTGAACCTCTTCTGGTTCAACTTAAAGCCATACCTCTTGCCCTACTCTCTCATTCTCAGCTGAAGGGGATGTGTCCTTTCATGACAGTTTATTGCCTATCAGGAACTGAGGACATCTCTCCCCTCAACACTAGTGAGGCGTGGAGATTTCTGGTGTGTTCGTGCAGCATGTCCCCAGCCTGTCTTCCTGCCAGTCTGCACAGACACAACCAGAGTCTGGGGATGCATGCCACCCACAGCAGAACAGCACGTTTCAGACCATGCCCTATTAAAAAGATCAGCAGTACAACACAGAAAACAATTAAAAACTGACAATGACAGATGAGTTCATTCCATCCAGGCTGGAAACACTGCTCATGCTTCCCAGGGCTGATGTCTGCCCTGGGGACCTCACCTCTCACTCCCAGAGGACTCATGTTGTGCTCTTTGCCCATCCTATGGGACAGCACGCTTGCACTCAGGACTGCAGGCTGTCAGCACGGAGCAGAATTGCTTTGACTTTACTGAGAGGGAGCACAAACATGACCTGCTCGTGCAGCCAGCAGGAAAGCATCCCTTTTTGTTTCCTAAAGATTATCGTCATCCTGCACCATCTGATTGCAAGTGTTGTTCCGCATGGAGAGCCAGCCCAAATCCAACTGTTAGCCCCGTAAATATTCCTGATGGCTTGCTTCAGTGCAAACCTCCTCAAGCCATTGCCCTCCCTAGCAGCAGACTCAGTGGCGACGTGCAGGGCAGCCTGAGCCAGAGCCTCCTGCCACAGTCAGCAAACAAGCGTGTTTTATATTAGGCACATTAAGAGGGAACAGTCCTGTTGCAAGGAATATTAAATTAAAGGAAAACAGCCAGGAGAAGGATTCAGTTCTGGTCGTACACAGAGGAACACAGGACCAGCTCTAGATTTGAAGCATGTGGCGGCCCATTGTAATTTCCTCGGTCCGTTTGAGCTGTCTAAAATTACAGTCACAGTTACAGTCGTGTTTCAGAACTCCAAACTCACTCTTATGTTATCTCCTCCACCACTCGGGGCAGTCGTGTTATGCCATAAAGTCCTTTATGCCATGACTGTGAAAAGGAAAATCCTCTGTGCTCCCAGGCAATTTGAAGGAACAGCACAGCCTCCAAGGTCTGTAAGGTCCCTCACTTATGGCACAGCATCAGCAATGCAAACCTTGCACTCCAGTACACCTGCCCTACTTCCTCACCTGGGCAGACCCTGACAGCATCACAGTCACTCTCCTGTTCCAGTTAATCCTCCCCAACCTCACAAGCCTTTTACAACACATTTTCTCCTTCCCTCCAGTCCCTATCCTCCTCCTGTCATCCTGAAGCACTCGTATGAAGTATGAGATGCTCCGGGTAGGAGTCAGAAATACCAATAGGAAATGCACAAACATCAGCCCTTCTCCATCCTTCCCTTGCTCTGTGGGATAGCTCAGCCATAAGCAGTGCTCAGGACTTGTGCAGAGCCTCTTGTAGTGTGAGCAACAACCCCTGGCAGCAGCAAGGGAACCAAAAAGCTGAAAGCAACACTGAGAAAAACGGAGGGGAAAAAAAAAAAAAGATTTTCAGCATATTTTAAAGCTGATCCCATGGAAAGAGTGGAACCACCAGCAGAACAAGCTGCACGAGAGATGTAACTCATCACATCCAGCATGCAGGTTTCCAGATGAAAACTTCCAGGGCTCATGATGCATGTATGCAAACACCACACAGATTTCAATGGAGAAAACAGAATCACAGAATCATTTGAGTTGGAATGAACCCTTAAAGGCCATCAGGCCCAACCACTCTGCAGTGAACAGGGACACCCACAGCACCATCAGGTGCTCAGAGCCCATCCAGCCTGACCTTGGGTGTCTGCAGGGATGGGACATCTACCACCTCTCTAGGAAACATTGCAAATTAAAATGCTCTTGAACACTTTTCAGGCCCTTTCAGCTGACACAGGAAAGAAGATGCTAATAAAAAGAGCAATGCACGATCGGGGTGAGGGCTCAAGAGATATTGCCCTTTGGCCCAGCACTGGTCTTGTGCTTGTATAGTTCCTGTCTTTAAAATAAATGAGTTCATGATGACAGCTTAAATAAAGGTTTTTACTTGTGCTGGGACAGGTGAGACAATTACTATCACTCTGCTGAATGAAGGTGCTCAGTTAAGCCAAAGCATTACTTGGTCAGGTTGCCATTCCACACGTGCAATGCCTCTCAAAGCAGACTCCAACACTGCAGGAGCCCTTCTACCTGCTTATGTCTATGTGTGGACATCTTAAATCAGGTCCATTCTGTAAACATAACCTAGGTCTATCTCAAGGCCAAACATATAACTTCCTGTTTAACCCAAGATTGCTCTATAGAACATACAGAAGCTAAGGTCAAGGAAATTCTGTATCCCTTTTGTGTTGTGTGGAGCAGATAGAAACTAGAATGACTCCTCTGGACCTTGTCTGAATGCAAGGTGGGCCCAGGGCTGCAGCAGTTAGATCTAAACCATATTCTTTGAGAGGCTTAACAGCTCTGGATGGAATAGTTGGCTCCCTGTAAAAGTAGAGCCAGAGGAACACTTCCTCCAGGGGTTTTGTTTTGTTTTCAAAACTGATGTTTAGATCCAAAGAACTGGCTTGGCCTTTACTCTTCTGCTAACAGCATTCACTGTGAGATGTACAGCATGCCAGAGAGCTCTAATGCCTTGCAGATCTGGGTTGTGTCATTCTGCAGTATTATTTACACAAAACTATTTAGAAATGCAGGGTAGAACTTGCTGAAGTGTGTGGAAGACTCATTTTATCTAATTTTATTCACCTTAAATAGGCACTCAGCTTAAAGATGACTCTCTTCATGGTTCTTCTGTAGTCCATAGCAGAGAGTATCATCTCTAGGAGGTAAGGTGCCCCTCCTACTGTGGACATCCATCCTGGGAAGAGGAAAACCAACTTCTAGAGGTGTATTCCTCTCCAGCAATCACAAAAACAGCTCTTAGAAGTTGCTTAGAATAGAATAATAGGATCATTAAGGTTGGAAAGATCCCTGAGATCATCTAGTCCAATCCAAACCATCCCCACCATGCCTACTAACCACAGAATTGCCTCCAGGCCTCCCTTTGGGAACTCAGGAGTTACTCCTCTCTCCCCATCCAGTGTTTCTGTGGAAAAGAAATTCAACTAAAAGCAAGAGAAAGCTGTCAAGAGGCTTTCAAGAAGTTCCTCGCCCTCTGCAGGATGCACACTGGCATCCTTGACAGAAATAAGCTGAAAATGAAGTGAAAGCAGCCCACCAGGAAATCACCGCGGTGGTGCCCGATGCCATACAACAGCTCCAAATACCTGGCCTTATTAGCATCAAAGACCACACGCCCAGAGGCAGATCATTTGCCCTTCATTAGGGCTGGGATTACACCAAGACTGTCTCATTAGATCTCAAACTCCACCAGATCAAGCTGGCCTGCCTGCCCCTGCACAGCAGTGAAAGTGTCCTCTTCATCTTCAGAGCTGGCTGTGCAAGATCCTCAGTGGCCTGACAGTAGTTTCCTCTGTCAGCAAAATCCCAAAGAAAAAAAAATAGAAAAAGAAAACAAGAAAGCTGCAGGGGGAGCAAACAGAAACGAGCTGGATAATCAGCTGCAATTCAAAGCAGGGAGGAGATCTGCTTTATAACTCTGATTTACCCACTGCATCGCAGAGCTTTCTGCTCTACAAATCCCATCCTGATGCACAACGAGTAAATAAATAATCCCTAGGATGAACTGAAAAAAATTAGTCTCTGCTGAACACTCTCATTTTCTGCAAGGTCTTTTAAATCACGCTAGCAAAGCTGAAATTATCTTTATTAGGAAAAGGTTGCCCAGTGAAGCTGTGGATGCCCCCTCCCTGGAGGCATTCAAGGCCAGGCTGGATGGGCTGTGAGCAACCTGGTCTAGAGGGAGATGTCCCTGCCTATAGCAACGGGCTGGAACTGAGTGATCTTAAAGATCCTTTCCAGCCCAAACCATTTGCAGCAATTAGACAGATTGATATGATGGGAAAGGCATTACTACAGAGGCGTGATGAAGGAAGGACCAGTATAGAATAGGTGCAATAGAAAGCAGCTATAAAGAAAGGGAAGAAGATTGCTTACCTGTATCAGAAGATTCTGGGTTTGCAGGAGAAAACTTCACCCAGGAAAGATCTCCAGAAAGAGATTTTTCCCTACGGGCAGTCAGCCCTTAAATGGGGTCTAAGAGAGATGCAGTCAGGCTCCACTCCTTCTGCTCACATAGCTGAACTGCCTTCAGCTGTGCTCTCAGGTGTGACCCAGTCCTTTCCCCAGGTGCTCAATCAGTGGTTCAGGCCGTGACTCAACAGGTCCCATACACCATGCTATGACTATTAGGATAATGGCCTGGCTGTAGACTGTTTAGTCTGTCATCTGCAAAATGAAGAATGACCAGTGGAGATGAACCTACCCAGTGTCCATCTGTGAGCCAGGTGGGAGCCCTCTCAGCCACATGCTGCCCAAAAAGGCTGACAATGTCCCTACAAGAGGCTGCTCTCAGCGCCCCAAACCTTTCCCTTCCCACAGCCCCCCAACCCAGAAGAAAGTATCAAGTGTGAATTAAAATCATAGAACAATTGGAAAGGACCACTAAGATCATCTAGTCCGACCACTGATCCATTATCACATTACTGCAAACCAAAGAAAATCTCACTTTAGAGGCAACATGCTTGGAAAAAGGAATACAAATAATAATCAAGGGGCAGAGCTTGCAAAACAGTCTTGAAAGGCTGCACTGCTTGCTAATGCTGAGCATTTCTACCTCCCCGTCAGAGCAGGGAGGGAGGGAGCAGCTGAAGGTCAGTACTGAGTTGAGAAGCAGCAGCCAGAGCTCTTTGTACTTGAAAAAAAGGCTTGGCAAATGTTTGGGAAATCAAGATTTCTGTCAGGCTTTGCAAGCTATTTTTGTTCCTCTTGTTGCTGGGCATTATGGAGACAAAATAATAGAGGCTGTGGGGAGAGGGACGGCTGTAATATAACCCCAGGACCTATGTCCTCTCCAAGGCTCAGATGGATGGATGACCTGCAGATATGGCTCGCTGGCTTGTACACTGTGTGACATACCATCCACTGCTTCCCATTTCCTCTCTGCCTTTTGTTTGTTTTTAAAGCAATCTCCTTGGGCTATGTTTTTGCTCTTTTTCCCCTATTTCAAAGATTTTCAGTCTGTTGGATTTTTTGTCTCTGCTCTGAAGACCTGTATTGTAGTGAGGGGGAGCCGTAGGCACAGGAGCTGTCAGCATGATCTGAAGCAATCCGGAAAATCTCCCATCTACACTTGTTACTTTCAGATCATGGAATCATAGAATCACTAAGGTTGGAAATGACCTCTAAGATCCCCAAGTCCAACCACAGCCCACCCCCACTATGCCCACTGACCGCATCCCTCACTGCCACATCTCCTTCATTCTTGAACATCTCCAAGGGACGGTGATACTACCAGTCCCTGGGCAGCCTGTGCCAATTATTTCTGCTCATCAAAATGGTCCAGAGGGTTGTTCTGCATGCCTCCCTTGGGCAGAGAAGTTTATGCCATGATCTTAATCCCACTGCAGCCACAGCAAGGCAGCTTGGGTTAAATGGTTTGAAGATCTGATGATTGCAAACCTGATGGCCTAAGAGAAGGGTACCAAGAGGCCGTGCTCAGCATGAGCCTGGTGTTCTCCATCTGCTCCAGGTGAAGCTGCACAAGGGCTGGTGGCATTCTTTAAAACACCATCATGTTGCACACTCACAGATCTACAAGCTCTGATCTGCTAGGACCAAGTGAGAGTGGCTTTGTCTGGTGACATTTGTCTCTTTTTCTGTTGTTATGCCTGATGACCACATGGAAAAAGGCAGAACTGACCAGGGCGGTGCTGATCTCCTGCAGCCCCTAAGCTGAAAGCAAAAGGAAAGAGAAGATCTTTCTGCCACGTGCATCCACTGTTTCCAGACCATCTCTTCTGCTGGCTTCACATTACCCACAAGAATTGCTCATCGTTAAATAGAGATGAATAATAACTAGTCGGGTGGTTGTTTTTTTTTGTCATTTTTTTCCTTTTTAATCCATTGCACAAGCACAGTCTGGAGAACATTTCCTGCAGCTGCCTGTGTGTCACCCATCCATTTTCTTGGGGCCCTGCAAACAATGGGGGATGGCATTTGCCACACCATCTGTTTGGGACTGCAGGACAGCCAGGCTCTGCTCCACCTACCTGGTACTCGTGGTGGTGACTGAGACCCACCAGGGTCTGCTTTCCAAGGCTCCAACACGAGGCCTCATCAGGGAGCTAATAAAATAATCGATGCTGTGGAGAACGCCCTTAAGTAACTGATAACAAGGGTCCTCCAGGTGGCAGCTGGCCCTGACAAGTAATAATCGCCTGGCCGAGAGAAAATTGCCGCAGAGCAGATCACTGTCAAAGATGTCTGCTGTGTGTGATGGATATCACGGGGATGTTTCTCTCCATCTCCTGCTTTACAGTAGGGAGTGTATCCACTCTGTTGGAGAGCCTCTCTGCTCCCCAATTACATCCACCCCAACTAAATAATTTCAGAGATTGCTCCCCAGCTGCTACCTACCCTGAGCTCAACAAACAAAAGTAATGATCACTGCGCCTTGTTTCATTACGGGTCTGCTGAGCTCAGAGACCTCAAAATGCCACCTTGCAAATATTAATTCATGACGCTCTGCATTTGCCTCTGGTGTCAAGGAAACATTCGCAACCATTTTCAGCTAATCATAAAAACAGAGGCTGTTCTTCACTATTGCCCTCATAAAAAGCACTCGGAAAAAGTTGGCTACGTCATGGGCTGCATTCATTACAAATGTTGTCTTTATTTTTTTTAAGCATAACAATTCCCTCTTATTTTTGTGCCCACTATAAATCAACTCTTTTTGGAAACCAGACAAAAAGCCATCACACTGGTTTAGTCTCCAGGGTTTTCTTTTGTTTATCCACAGGTCTAGATAAACCATTGGTACTAATGAGGGCTAAACACAACAAACTAGAGCAAAGCAGTTCACCTGTTTCAATTAATTTACCCCTGAATGCTGTTTGTGGCTCCCGCAGTTGCAGGGCACCTCTGCACAATAGCCTTCAGTCTGCACGCTGCACCTGCCCCCGGGTCCAACACCTTGGGCAACCCTGACCCCAGAGATTTAACCCAAATTCCGAGGGCAAAGGGGGCAATTTCACCCTTAGCTGAAACATCTGGAATGCATCAAGCTGCCAGTGGTCCCCTTGCACTTATAGCCCAAAGTGCTACGTGTGAGCATGGAGTTAGAGATCAGCTCAAGAAAAGCTCTTAAACTTGAGCTTAATTTTAAGTTAACTTTCTGCCAAGTATTGTGCTGAGGAGGGGTGGGTGCTTGCATGCCCTGCTAATAGGAACCACATGTGTGCAGGCAGCCAGGACTATGACTTGCTTATTTTTCTAGACCTTTGTCAATCAAGTATTTCTCCTTAGGCAAATTCCCCATGGAAAACACAGCACCCAAAACACACATCCACCAGTCACATCTTCACAGGGCAAAGACTTCAAATTGGTACTTGGTAAATCTCCTTTGCAAGGAAGCTGGGTTAGCACTGCCAATATTATAATACAGCGTAATCATTTATCAGCTCTCCCCTTCACGCCATTATTCCTTGTCTCACAGCTCTGGCTTTGGGCACAGAATACTAATGTCACGGGCTCATCAGTATGCTGAAGGGCTGTGTGTGCATCTCAGCCACGCATGCTGATAGCACGAAATCCATGGAGGGCATAATGGAAATTCACACGCTGCTCCATTAGCATACTGCAGAGCCTCTTACCTATCGCTCGTGCGAAGAGCTGGCCCCAAATGTCCCATGGATTTGGCCCTGCCTTACTTATCACTGCAGACATAGCCAAGTCTCCTTTATGAAATGGGAGTGAGGTGCTTTGGACTGGCTCTACCTTTGGTGTTTTGTATGCAAACCTTTAACTTACATAGATTCTCCTGCTGTTGTGCTAGAAAAGTGACCTTGAGCAAAGTGCTTTGTTTTTTCTAAGGGATCTGGCAGAGCTCTGAAAGCACAGACAAGTCATCTAGCAGCTCTCCAGGGTACAGATGGGTTACAAAGCAAGGCAGCCATCACTTTCTCTGAATGAGTGAGGTCCACCACTCACTCCACCAAGGATGGCATTTATCTCAATTGCATGTTTTTAATTGCTACGTTTCCATACCTTATGATACCTTCCTGACCTGGCAAAAGGATTGCTCTGTAGAGAAGACAGAAGGTAACACCCATCATCTCCACTCATAAGATCTGCATCTGGCAGGCATGTTTCCTCTGCTGAATTTCCAGGTTGGCTCCATAGCACCAAGTACCAATAGCATCCTTGATGCAAATGGCAAACCAGTATCTGTTGAAAGGTTGAATTCTGACTACATCAACGAGATGTCCAAAATCTACCCCAACCAGTAGAATTATAGAATCATTTGAGGTGGAAGACACCTTGAAATACTATCTAGTCCAACCACCCTGCAATGCACAGGGACACTCACAGCAGATGTCTACAGGGATGGGGCAACACCACCTGGGGAGCCTGTGTCAGTGCCTCACCACCCTGAAAAAAACCCGTAAAAAACTTTTTCCTTATATCTAATCTAGATCTCCCCTCTCTTAGTTTGAAACCATTTCCCTTTATCCTATCACAACAACCCTGCTAAAGATTCTGTCCCTTTCCAATCCCACAGTACACAGTGAATGTGGCTTAGAGCTGAGAGGCAGCCTTGGGTCTACAAGAAAGGACACCTGAGAACCCCATCCCATTTCTTTCTTAATCAGCTCCACCAATCTTAACTGCATCCACCTGATTCATCACATATGAGTCAGGGCTCTGAAAACATGATAGAAAGAATGGAGAGGAGAGCAAAATCACATGGTTCCAGCACAAACCAGCTGCGAAAGGACAGCTGATCCTGGCCCCTTGCAAAATAGCTGGGCAAGAGAGAAAGTCTGGGAGGGAAACAAAGTCCTTGAGAGGGGAAAAAGATGCCTAAAATCACCCAGCAAGGTAGCAACAGCACTGAGAACAGATTCAGCTCCTGGCACAGTAGGGCCACAGTAGGGCTTAGCACCCTACTGACCTGCACATGTCACCTCACATTGCAGGGGCTTTTGGAAAAGAAACCAAATGTGTGCAGGTGTCAGGAATAAAACATATGAGGCTAGTTAGCCTTCTCCTTATACCACTCTGTAATAAGGGGCTGCGCCAGAGTCAGGGCTCTCTTTTCATCCATTCATACAATGTGCCCACTGTTATCCCCCCTGACTCCCTAGTCGCATGACCCAGCCATGAAAAATGGTTCTGATTCATTTACATTAAAGATGTGGATATTTTAAGGGGCATAGAAGACCTTCTCTTGTGATTGTTAAATGTCCACAGTGAAGCACACAGAATATAAGCCACTGGGTCATGAAATGTAGCATTTCTTTCATTCTTATCTCCCTTCTCCAGCTTGCCAGAGCACTGCAAGCCATCATATTGATGTATAAGCAGCAAAATCTCTCTCACAGGATGAAGAAAAATATTCACCTTTA